TAGCCAAAATAACACTTCTTCTGATTGGCAAACAAAGAGTGCTCTCTTAAGTTAGACAACACAACTCCTAAATGCTCCAAGTGCTCCCACTCAGACCTACTATATATCAATATATCGTCAAAAAATACTAGCACAAACCTTCACAAATAAGGCTGGAATACCCTATTCATCGTAACTAGATAGTGGCCGGTGCGTTAGTGAGGCCAAAAGGCATTACCAAGAATTCATAGTATCCCTCGTGTGTCCAAAAACTTATCTTGTGAGTGTCTCCTAGTCACATTCTGATTTGGTGATACTCGGATTTCAAGTCAATCTTAGAAAATATTATAGAACCATGTAACTCATCTAACAGCTCATAAATAACTAGTATGAGAAACTTGCATGGTACAATTTTCTTATTCAGGGTACGGTAGTCTACGCAAAACCTTCAGCTCTCATCCTTTTTTCTTCCAACAATATAGGACTAAAAAAAGGGCTCACAATGTGCTTGATAATTCCAGCTTCAAGCATATCCCGAATCAGTCACTCAATCTCATCCTTCTAATTATGAGAAATTATTTTGTGCGGTCATCGGACGATCCAGAGGCGAACTAGGAAGCGCTACGTCACCCGGTACCTATGATGCAAAGAGACGGACATGGCGACACGGATACGACACGACACCGACACGGGACACGTCAGTTATTGAAAATATAGGACACGGACATGGGTTGGATACGGTATTATAATATTCATATTTAAAAAATAATGTATAAAAATTAAATAAGTATAATTTTAAAAATAATTTGAAAATAATAAGTTATTTAACTAGAAGTTGTGCTTAAAATAATTAGTACTAGGATGTCGAGAGTCAGACGTCAATGCCGTTTTTCAGTCACCGAGAGAGGAGATGAAAATACCTTCACTGTCAAAAAGAAATGAAAATGAGAATATTCGATGATTGGGTATTAAGTGCGGATATTGATTTGGTATTGTGGATAGGAAATAAGAAATTTAGTTTAAATCCCGCCAAATACAAGAAATTCTATTTAAAAAAAATTCATAAAATATTTAAGATACGTGTGTCCGACACGCGTGTCCAATTTGTATTTAATATTTTTTAATCGGACAGGTTTTCGGCGTGTCCGACACGTGTCGGAGGAGTGTCGGACTAGTGTCGTGTCAGATGTGGTGTCGGACACTGCACACCTCTTTGAGGAGAAGTGTCGGTGCATCATAGCCCGGTACATAATGGTACACAACACCGGTACACATCAAAAAAATGGGGCGCATCCTAATTCGCCAATGGACACCGTCTGGTGATCGTACAAAATAATTTCTCATGTATCTGAATGTAGCGATATGGTCGGATACTAATAGGGGAGACTCCTATCAGAATAATAAAGTGCTTGTGCTCTTGTGGGGGTGACAATACTTAGGGAAGTTGGAATGCCTTCCTGAACTGTTGAAGAAGAGGTTAATGTTTGGAATGCCCTCTAAATCCTCTCTCTCCTCCCTCTATACTCTAGAGTTCTACCAAGAATCCCCGTCCTTTCCCTTGTAAGGCACGAACCAGGGTTTTCAAAGAAATCATTGCTTTGGATAAGTTAGGCTCTCTCTTAATTATCACTTTCTCGCCTCCACCTGGATCTCTATAACTAATGTCTTCCAATTTATCTTGGTCTCCTTGAAGGTTTGTAGCAACTTCATTCACAAAATTAAATCAATACTCCCAAATTCCAACGGAAGAAAATCATCCCTGACATAAATCCCCTATAACTCTACCACCAAACCCTTACATATCCCTCTACTCTTTACCACCTTTTATGTGCTCATTATCACTCCAAAACACCCCATGTCTACCAATTTCAGCCCTGATTTGTCTACCACCTGGTTCGATATGAAATTGTGGGTAGCCCCACTGTCCATAAGGATCGTCACTTCTTCTCCTCCTATTTGTCCCCTCACCTTCATAGTGTGATTCAAGATGAATCCCACTACAGAGTTCAATGCAACTTCAACCACCTCCAAGTGTACGAGTTCTTCCTCCTCTTCCTCCTCCCTCTCTGCCTCTCGCTCATCCACCTCCTGCTCATCACACACACCAAGAGAACCTACAAGGTACGATTTTTACATCTATGTCTTGGTGTAAATTTTTTCTTCGCATCTATAACATAACCCTTTTGCCTTATTGTCCTGTACCCCTGCTTCTATAAGGCGCTTCAAATTACTTCACGAACGAACTCCAGTGCTCTTCTACTTTGGTGCTTCCCTCTGAAAAGAAACCATCTGGGTTCTCGGTACCAAGGTCATGGAGGTATTCTTATAAACGCCTCCCATGGTGTTGCTCTTGCTGACCTTTTCCCTCTAATGTTTCTCTTCCACCATTTATGTAAGTTCCATTGTCTCCCTCATCCCTTTAGGCCTCAACACTCTGAATTCTACTCATATGTCTTCCTTAAGGCCATTCATGAAATTCTCCTCAAAATCTTCTTCAGAAATTCCCCTCAGCCTACCAAATAACATCACAAATTCCTCCTGGTACTCCATGATTGTCCCCTCCTAAGTTAGGGCATAAAATTGCTCATAGAGGCCTCCTTCCTAGATGGATCGAAAATGTCCCAACATGCAATCTTTAAATACCCCCATGAATAGATCGGATACATGACCTCCCTCCATTGAAATCAAGCTAAGGCTTTGCCTTCCAAGCATAGCCCCACCACCATAAGCTTTTCCCCTTCTGCCAGCCCGTTGATAGCAAAGCAACATTCTACTCGATACACCCATCCTTGAGCATCTTCCCCTTCAAAGACTGACATTTTTAGCTTCATTGATCTAGCCTCCATACCTCAATAATTTATTCCTTCATCAACTCCTCCTATGTAGTGATGGTGTGATTCTCTCCCTTCCTCCCTTGGCTAATTTCAACCCCAGGGTTCGGCCAAATGGTGGGGGCAAGAAATATAGGAGAGCCTATACCCGCACAAGAGAGGTGGGACGACATAAAAACGAAGAGACGACTTGAGACGAAATTCAAGATGAGAAGAGAGAAGAGAACAAACTCTTACATTTCAAATTTGTCATAAATTAAAACTTACAAACTAGACTCCAAATAAAATGACGACACCCTAAAGTTGCTGCACTTGGAGAAGAAGGATACAGGTGGAGTGGCACTTGCGAAGAGACGAAAGAGGTTAGAAGCCCGAGAAGAAAGGTTGGAAAGAGCCCGCAGGATTTCCGGAGGGGATGAGAAAGAAGGGTGGAAAGAGCCCGCAGGATTTCCAAAGCAAACCCCCAGGTTATAGCTTTTCCAAAAATAACATTTCATTCAACTATTTCAAACAATACAAATCCCCTATATATATAGGTATGAAAGGGAATACAAAGAGACACATTACATTAATTTTAACACAAGAAACTAAGCATCAAAAGCATTACACTCAAATGCTTTGCACGAAAAAACAGCCCAAGCCAAGGAACCGAAGAGGTAGCCGGGGGAGCCAAGGAGGTCGAGCGGGAGCCAAGGGGCCACGGTCACGGGAGGGAGCCCAGGCACGGGAAACCAGCAGCCGGCCGGAATCTAAGGGGGCAAAAGCAATGAAATCATGGAGGAACCAAGGAGTCATGCATAGGAAGACTAAACAACTAACTTGGGATTCCAAAAGCCCTTTTTGGAAACCCAAGAGACACCATAACTTAAAACATTAAAAACATAAAAAGTACATTTAATATAAAGATAACTATGAACTAAAATCATAGCTAATAATGAGCTAACCCTTAATTCAATAAATGAACTAAAGATCAGCTCATAAATGAGCTAAATTTTCAGCTCAAATAGTATACTCAAGGGAAGCCAAAATTCGTATTATTTTGGACATGAGTTGACCCCCCCTTTGTCTACATCACCAAACCATTACTTCTTCCGGTCCACCTTCTCGCCTTCCTGGGTGGTATCCAAAAAGGCTTCGGCCTCCCCTCTTCTTGCTGCCCCTTCTTCGGGATACCTTGAGGCCCCTCGTGATGATTCTTGAGGAAAAACTATCTTCACTTCATCATCGTCCTCCTAAAGTTTCTTTCCCTTCCGATCAGCCCTAGGAATAGCCGACGAAGTCTTCGATTGCATCTCGATTAATTTTCTCATCATGCCTTCCATGTTCTTAAATCGGTTTTCCATGGATGACACTCTTCCTTCCACAGTTGTGAACTTTCCTTCCACCATTGTGAACTTTCCTTCTATTCCGGAATATTTCTCCTCCATCTCGGCCCTGAATTGTTCTGTCTCTCTTTCCAACACCTCCATCTTCTTTGTTGTCATTCATGGATTTAGGTTTCAAACCATAAAAAGCATCAACAAACAATGACTATGATCTTCAAACAGTAAAAATCAGCAAACAGAGAGGAAATTTGCAGCCGAAATCAGCAAGGAGAACTGAGATTTTGATCTAGGGTACCGCTCTGATACCAATTCTATTGCTACTGGTTACATTCTCTATTGGTTGTTTTTTTTTTTTCTGTGGGCTTCTGTACCTTGATTTTCACCTGTCTTGAATTATTCCAAGTCAGATACTGCTGCTATGCTTCAATGGCACTCTTCGGTTATGCTATTTTTCATATTGACCTTGTGGTGACACGGTGTCAGCATAAATGGGCTTGGGCTGTTATCAAAAATATTTTTTCATAAGCCATTTTATGACTTGGTGTCAATTTTTTTGCACTATGTTGGATGTGTTTGGATGACCTCACCTATCTTGGTGCTAGCTAGCCCACCCCGCTAGGAAATAATGATTGGCCTCAGCAACCCCCTGACCCCAGTTATTCATCCTAATCCCTTGGCTCTTATTGGCCCCGTTTTAAGGTGTTTCAATATTTATACGGCAAATTCATTAAAAAAAATCGTTTTAAAATTTCTAATATGTTGGGCTGCAGCACTCAAAATTCCTAAAAAGAAGGGCTGCTTAAACAAAAAATGTACTAAAGCTGTGGTCAGCAACTCAGCATTTGCATTAAATATTAGAAAATACCTCTTGTCTCTCTATGAATCCTTGTTGCTTGAGATCATAAAGTTTGAAAGAGACTGCAACGGAACATCACAAAAACTAAGAAGTCAACCCATTATATCCTAATTAAAATCCAATTTAAAAAAGACCAGATAACATAAATGTTGAACAAATGAGGATAGATGAGTCAAAAGAGAATGAGTCTAAAATATATGACAAGAATTTCATTTCCTTGCACTATAAAGTTTAAAAAAAAAAAAAATTTTGATATAGAATGAAGGCAAAGTCTAAAATATGATGACAAACTCTCAAGATTTGTAAGAAAATCCATGGACGCACGTATGAAAGATTATCCTTCACAATCAATGACAGACTAGAACTGAAAAAACATTATGACATTAGCAAATTTGTAATAAATATTATTCAACTCACATTCAATCTTATCATCTATGGGGGCATTAGGATGGAAAACAGAGAGAGCACGAGCAAATTCTTCAAATCCTAGAATGCCATTGTGCTTTGTATCAAACAGGTCGAAAACCTGAAAATTTGAGGCAAAATGCTATAAGCATACATTTTCTAATTGACTACAAATGATAAAAAGGCATGGATAAGCTGAAGGTCATCAAGCATAAATATATTAAGCCATCAACTTTGGCTCCATTTAGAATTGCTTTCCACCAAGTAGATGCAGGTCCTCATTAAGGTGTGGGTAGCAGCTTTCCTTAACCGCAAAAATTTGCTTTGTTGAATCTCAAAGCTGTACCAAACAACTCTCATCTTTGTCATCTTAATAACATATAAAAAACAATTTCAAGTTTTCTTTATGACCTTAGCAATTCATTCCCAAAAAAAAATCCATATGATAGTTCATATCAGTCAAAGCTAAATATATTTATCTAATGACTACAATAAATTGAACCCCATCATTAGGATGGATTAATACCGCTTCTATGACTATTAGATAGTACAAAGTTATTACCTTTAACTGCATATTCAAGATGCTGCGTGCACACAATGAAAACTAAAAAGCCCATCCCTACCTACCTCCCCAAAAAAAAACACCCGACTGCAAGTAAGGATTGCGTATATACACGTATTTGCAAGTGGGGTTAACATAAGAATGCAAAATCAATGTCTTCAATCCGCTCAAGATTCCAGTACTCAATGAAAGCCAAAGCTGTCTTCTCATCTCACTTAAAAGCATTAAATTAAAGCTTATTTATAACCGAAGATGGGGACAAACTTCTATATCTTATAGATAACATTATTGGGGAAAAAACTGTTGCCCAGAATTGGATGGCATGAGGCTTGGCATGAAGTCAAAGATGGAAGAAAATGTGATATTGGAAAATCATGATAATGAAATTGAAACTACTAACGTTATCTGCTTTGCCATAGATTTTACGAGTCTGCTTATAAAATATAAATTATCAATAACATGTTATGTTTATCATGGTTTATATAAATTAATCAGTTAGATGTGCACATACTGTTGAAAAAAAAATGTACCTACCATGACCATGTCCCACGCATGTCGCTCCCTTCAAGGCTTCACCATCTTGAACCCACACCAAACCAGTGCACGACGTCCCACAAATCGAATACCTCTCTCTTTGGTGCATGTCTACAACCCGTGCGTGATTTTTTAGCACGATCGGAAAAACTCATAAGCGATGTTGGTGGCATAGTGGGAAAACTTTGCACACACTTTTCTTAACACGGTGAAGAAATTCATATATAAGTACATGTGTGTATCTTTCTTGATGCAGCATGGAATATTGCAAATTTCAAGCAGGTGCATGAAGAATGATGCATGCCTTTTTTTATGTGGCAAGATAGAAAACCCCTCGATAGCAATCTTACGACACTGACCATGCATGCATTTTTTGGTGTTGTGGGAAGGTGTAGCACAATTGAAGATGCCCCATACGTGGGAAAGACATCAAAAGTCTACTGAGATTTATATTGACATGGAACCCAAAAAATAAAATAAAAATAACTTGCAAACAAAAAAATGCAACTAAAAATGAAAATTAAAATTACAAATGCTAAACTTGCAATGTTTATGATGCAAACACTTGAAACGCAATATATGTTGTGATAAATAACAACATGATTTAAACTGGTATAGGATTTAAAGGGGACTTGTTATGAACTTGAAAGCTTGCTTGCAAGCGCAAAACTTGATTACACTACAAAACTTTCATGAATGCTTAGAATCGCCTCAAAGGAACACTCAATGAAATAAACACGGAATAAAAATGAACTAAATAAGCTGCCATTTATAGCTAGAAAAATGATAACTTATGGAACCCACCAGAGTGAAATATGAGCTATTTACAAATGAATATTGCTTTTGAAAAATACCTAGAAGAATCTAACTCATGACAGTTGTAATTGGATCTGCAACACATACAAATAGACATAATATGAGAAATAATGAACTTAAACGCAAAGTTATGAGCATGCTTCAATGACAAAGCATTCATGTGAACAACTGCTATGTTGTACTCTCACATGTTTCAAACAACTATGTTCACATAAATGATTTTAAATAGAGCAAAGTGACCTAACTTGTTCCATAACACAGGTCACACAGCCATTTTGATAAAGTGCTTAAAAGCAATTTTATCCATGTGTTCATTAAATGCACAGTGCAAACATACTAATGAAGTAAGCACATTGTATAAGCACACCAAAGACATGCAAACATGCAAGTGTATAACGCAAGTGCATCAAGAGGTGTGCGGATGCATCATGCAAGGGTATCAAGAAATATATAAGTGCATTGCATGAATGCAACGCGAAAAGTGCAAGTACGCCTAGCAAATGCATCAAAAAGTGTGCACGACACATCGGACTATTGAAATTAATTGACCCGCATATGCTCTTACAAGTATGTTAACATCCAAATACATAGATCATAATGCTGCATGGGCTAAATAAATTAAACTAAATTTGTCATGCACCAAAAAAAGTGCAATTGTTCAAAGAGGCGAGCAATTGTTTTGAAGCTCCATAAGTCTCTTTTTTTTTAATTAAATTTATCTACATGAACTTTAAAAATACCTAAATGCTCAAATTTAATGTTTAAAAATGTTGCACAGACTCAAAGTAATTTTAATATAAACCAGCCTTGAGAGGAAAGTGACCCATAAAATGTGCAATTGCTTTAAAATTCACAAACTTCTACTAACGATAAATTCACCAATTGATAATCATGCTCTCAAGCGAGCTACTCAGCCTATAGGGAAGAGTCATGATCCTCATATTTCAAGTCCGAAACTCGTCGTTGTAAGTGTTGGAGTTTATGATATTTGAATTTCAAGAAAGAGACCCAAACAACAAATTTTAAAGGTTCACCATGAAACCTATTCCCATGAATAAATATAAGATTATAAAACCTATGAAAATATTTGATTTTACATTCACATAAAGACATAAATGTCTTTTACAAATAAATTCATTACAAAAATACAAACTCTTCGAGTTATGGCTTTTATGATAACACATATCGTTAATATTTGAACCTGGCCCTTTCTTAGCAAACCAACAAAGTTTACAAGATTCAAATATCAAAATAAGATTATTTAAATACCCCGAGTCCTTGATGATGACTGTGTTAGCTAAAAATATCAATCATAGATGATTATATATTTCAAAATGCCCCCAAATTCTAAAGTAAATTATTTTGGGACCACATCTAAATAAAAATAGAAAATATAAAAAATACAAAAATTCAAAATATTTTAAGTGAAGTTTACTGCCCATAAATTTAAAACAAAATTTTATCTACCTTTTGCAACCATTTGTCAAGAGTGATAATTTAAAAAGTAACCTCAACTCAAAAATGACCAATGTCTTGCTGAGCATATCATTATAATTCATTCTCAAACATTCTCTGACCACCAAAGACTCGACACATGTTCTCTAACTAGTGGAACTACAAGTAAATAATTATAACTAAGGTCCTCTGACTAGATGGTTTCATTACAAAATAACACTATCAAATTTGGGTGATGGCTATAGCCCAAAAGTTCCCCAATGGCTAAAAATCTCTAGAGAAATGAATCTTAGGGTGAACTAATAGGGCACAAGACATTTTATGAGCTAATTGTTCTCTTAGATAAATATCCACCCAAATCTATGAGGTTCTCTTAAACAAAACAATACATGGCTATGGAAAAAGATTCTTCGGTCATTAAGTGTCTATTTGTCATCTTACATTTGAAGAGGATGATGAAGAACTTAATCAAGATCTCATTGTTCCATTATTCTGCTACTATATAGCTACAAATTTCAAACCCGATACTATATGTTAAGCATTAAGTGTCTATTTAGCGACTGATCTTAATCAAAAGTTCTCTCTCATCACCAAGTGGGATAACTAACCATTAAGGCTTACGCCTATATGAAATATGAAACTAAATCATAAAATTCTTGTGAAATGAGATTGAAATCTTTGGGTAGTGTATTATTTACAACTAAATCTGCCTTATTAAAATTTGACCCGGAATATTAAAACTCTCTCAATAGAAGCACATATTAAGTCATCATGATCATCATCATAATTAACCTCATCCAGCTATTTAAGATTGGCTTTACTGATCATCCTTCTCTATTCATTAATGTTGAGAGCTACATAATGTGTATAACTAGCAATTGATTCATTACATATCAGTTATAGAAAGAGTAAACTAATTCAAAAGGTTACTTCTTGGTTAGAAAAATAAATCTAATATAAAGGAATTAAAATAGAAAACATCAATTGGCGTTGATTGTCAAGCTTATGACATCATTTTGAGAATAACAAGATGTAGTTGCATTGCTGTGATTAAAAAAAAACAGTGCCTTAATCATGAATTTTGATGAGATATTATTACCCTTTGGTGAGTCAGCAATTAGAATATAGGCTAATACAATAACAACAACATCAAGCCTTCATCACACTACATTGGGTCGACTACATGAATCCTTTTTCTCCATTGTGTCCTGTTAAGAGTCAAATTCTCATTTAAATCTAATAAAAAAATGTCATTTCCAAATATTTTCTAACAAAGACTTTTTTGGTTTACCTCTCTCTCTTAACATAGGTCAAATCTAATACATCTACTCTCCTAACCAGGTCATCAGAAGGCTGACATTTTATGTGACCAAATCATCTAAAGCAACTCCCTAATCTTATCTTCCATTGGAGCTACTCCAACTTTTTCACGTATATGCTTGTTTCGCATTATATCTCTAAGAGTAAAGTCACTCATCCACCTAAGCATCCTCATCACTGCAACACTTAACTTAATTGCATGCCTCTCTTTTAATGGTCAACATTTTGTGCCATAATGCATTTTAGGTCTCACCACCATCTTATGGAATTTTTCCTTAAGTTTGAGGAATACTTTTCTATCATTCAATAGGCCTGAAGCATCCTCCACTTCAACCATCCAATTTGAATTCTACTAAAATATCCCCATCTATTTCACCATCACTCTGGACAATAGACCCCATATATCTAAAACATGTACTCTTATTAATGACTTGATTGCCCAAAGTCATAATTCTCCCACTAGATCTATTACTACTAAAATTATGCTCCATGTATTCGATTTTAGATCTACTCAAACAAAGACCTTTAGACTCTAAGGTTGACCTCCATAATTCAAGTATACCTTCAACTCTCTCTAGTATTATCAACAAGAAGAATATCATCAACAAAAAGCATACACTAGGGTACAACCTTTTGCAAATGTCACTAAAGCAAAAAATATATGGGCTTAAAGCTAATCCTTGATGTAACCCAATTGAAATAAAAAAATACTTGGTCAAACCATCTTGTGTTGGAACACAAGTAACAATTCCTGCATACATATCCTTAATAACTTGAGTATAAGCATTATTGACCCTTTTCTTTCTAAAAACTCTCCAAAGCATTTATCTTGAAACTTTATCATAAGGTTTCCCTAAATCAATAAATATTATATGTACATCATCCTTATTCTCTCTATACTTCTCCATCAAACCTCTCAATAAATGAATAGCTTCCATTGTAGGTCTACTTGGCATGAATCCAAATTGATTTTGAGAAACATTAGTATCACATCATAATCTATGCTAAAAAACTCTTTCTCATAGTTTTAAAGCATGACGCATTAATTTAATTCCCTAAAATATAGACTAATGCATTACCAAAAAAATGGACGAATTAAGACCTATTTGGACAGGAAAGTGACATCTAATATAAATATATTAATGTGAAAAAGCAATCATGCAGTTAAATTTCAAAAGATAAAAACTTTCTTTATAAAAAAAGCTTCAGCAATGCAACTCCTGGAATTTTGATTTAGCTCATTAAACTTGTGAATAGTTGCAAAACATAATGCTATCGAAAGTACCCGATCAGCAAACAAGCTCTCCTTTTTGTTAGTCTTAAAAAGTGCCAGCTGAAACTCATCCTGCAGAAAGCAATATAGATATTAGAAATAATATAGTCATAATTCACCAGCTCAACTATTATTTCTGATGTTGAAAATTGTAGAGAAACTAATTCATAATTTTCTTGCTCAAATCAGCAGTAACATTGCATAGTTATGCATGGAGGTGAGCTATACTAAGGTTTGATCATGTGATCAATCCTTAAAAATATGAATGTTCCAAATTTAGATATTCCTAAAGGAAAAGAAGAATTTATGCATAATTATACAATTCAGATTTAAGAGGAAAATCTTATTAAAAATTTCCAATACTCCCCCTCAAACTAGTGAACATATGTTTTGCATTTCCAACTTGCTTTTAATTTCTTAAAATCCTAAAGCAGGTAGTCCCTTAGTCATCTCATATGCTAGCTTATCACTTGATGGTATGTAAAGAGTGTTGATCAAACCACTGTTCAATTTTCCCTTTTTGAAGCGTCTATTCACCAAGATGTGTTGGGTGAAGTCATATTGTAATTGACTTTGTGCAAAATTGATGGCAGAATTGTTGTCCCAACAGAGTTTCATAGGCATTTCAACCTTGATGCTAAGAACATCAAGGATTATATTCAGTTATAAAATTTTCAGATTCCATGAACCACTGCTCTAAAATAAACTTAACTACTTGATCTCACCGCATTTTACTTCTTATTTCTCCATGTCACAAGATTACCTTCAAAAAAGGTGCAATAACCTGATGTGAATCTTTTATCAACAACAAAGCAAATTTTACATCTGCTTAAGCTTCCAAACCAAGCTCTTTATATCTTTTGAACTCTTGCTCAAAGTTCCGTATTCCTGGTGTAGTCCTGAGATAGTATAAAATCTTATAGATAGCTTGCAAGTGCTTCTCCTAAGGATTTTCGTTGAATTTACTCTACACTGATAACATAAGCTATAATTAGCTAGGTATACGACAAGTAAATCAATCTCCCAACCAATTTCTGACATCTTTAGCTTTCTACTATACATTTTTTATTCGCCTAATTTATGATTAGATTTAATAGGTGCCCCCATAGCTATATAGCCAAGTGCTCTTGTCACTCTCTGGAGATCCAGGACATATATCTGTTGAAGAAATAAGTACGCCTCCTTTGAAATGTGCCATTACAATGCCCAAGAACTACTTAAGCCTTCCAGCATCTCTGGTCTCTAAGAGAATCTCCTTCAGAAGGATTATTTTCTAATAAAATAATATCATCCATATATACTACTAAGATTATTTTAGGGTATAGACCCAATTATGCTTTAATATTTTCATACATATTGATAAATTAACAATTTATCATAACCTTTCAATTTTGATGCACTCATTTCCTCTTACGTAGCTTGCACCCAATATATTCTAAAATATCACTAGTAGCGATGCGGGCATGTCAATATAGCTTGATGATAAGGAAGCTTTATATTGAGGAGATAGTTTATGGAAGAATACAAATTGGGAGATTGGATGTTAAGTACATTTTTTTGGTTCTTTTCCTGTCAACATTAAGTACATCATTAACAAAGACATGTTTCAAACTCATTAGCAATTAGTTCATTATCAACATAAGAAGGAATAGTAAAGAATAGTTGCACCTAGTTTAAATTCTTGAATCTGTGGAGGTCTTGAAATGGGAGCTCTCTTTCTTGAATAGATTGAAGTGGTGGCCTTAGATCCGTGTGTCATTTCACTTTTAAGAGTGGATTCAGGTTCAACTATAAATATTATTGAACAGGATTCAAGTTCAGTTGGTTGGATTATAGAGGCTGCATTTCTATCAGGCATGGCAATCTTGTTGATTTCTAAATATATTTCTTAAAAGCCGATGCAGTCAAATGAAACGATAACAGCTGATGGCAGACATAATTTTATGACAAATGTACTCAAAATACCTATTCAAATTAAATGAGCACCCAATCTATGCCAATTTAGCAAAGCAGGCTTTCCCGATGAATCTAGGAAATTGAAATTATCCAAAAAAAACACCCCTTTTTGCTTGAGTTTCCACACAATATAAGAAAAAAATATTTTCATGCAAGAAACAAGAATTCACGAGACAAAGCATACACTCTCACTTAAAACATGTTTGTGAGAGTGTGTGTTTCTATAGATATATATGTATATTAAAAAAGAATAAAAAATGATTATTATGATAAATGAAAAAATAATAATAATACAAATATTAGTTATTAAAGCACAAATAAAATCCATTTTTATCAAAAAAAAAAAAAAGCTTAGGACAACTTAACTACCCCTTGAATGGCACCATTTCATGTGGGTGTCATCTGACCCCATCGGTATTATAAGAAAGATAAAAGACAATACGATTGTTGAACTCCTCATTTCCCCTCCCATTTTCTCTCTCAAATTTTGATATGCTTATAATCTGCCTATCTCCATTTTCTCAATCCCATGCTCTAACCTTTGTCACCCCTCCTAGCATACGACTCACTCTCTCCCTCCTCTCTTCTTCGTTCCCAATATCAAGATTTAACTCCTCACGCCCGCAGCCCTCTCCCATCATTAACATATTACACAACAAATAACTTCTCTCCCCCAACAGCCAAACTCCTGACACTTGCACATTCCCAAACTTGTTTCAGTTTCCACACAGTAAAGAACAAAATTTTGTCAAACAAGAAACAAGAAATTCACAGGAAAATGTACTCTCATTTCAAACGTGTTTGTGAGTGTGTGTATATGTATATTAAAAAAAGAATAAAAATTATTATTATGATAAAAATTAAAATATATAATAATTCAAATATTATTTATTAAAGTATGGATTAAAAACCATTTTTATTAAAAAAAACTACTTAGGTCAACTTAACTGCCCCTGGAATGGCAGTTAAGGTACATCAAGCACATTTGCAACGTTTCATGTGGGTGTCGCCCAACCCCATCAGTATTATAAGAAAAATAAAAATCAATAAGACTATTGAATTCCCCATTTCTCCTCCTTTTTTTTCTCTCTCAAATTTTTACCTCCCTCTCCGTATTCTCATTTCTCAATCCCATGCTCTAACCTTTCTCACCCCTCCTAGCATGTGACTTACCCTCTCCGACCTCTCCTCTCCGTATTCTCATTTCTCAATCCCATGCTCTAACCTTTCTCACCCCTCCTAGCATGTGAGTCACCCTCTCTGTCCTCTATTCTTCGTTCCGAACATCAAGATTTAACCCCTCATGCCCACAGCACGGAACATCATTAATGCATTGCACCACAAATGACCTCTCCCCCCCCCCCCAAGGCCCCCCCCCCCCCCCCCCAAAATACTCAACCTCTTCACACTTGCACATTGCCAAACTCCTAACCCACAAAACACTTCACATGTCACATTAGCGTGACGCTCACCCACTTGCAACACCTGAACCCGACACCTAAAATTGCACTTTGTCAGCCTCCTTGTCTTCTCCGCTCAAGCTATAGCTCTTTTGGCAACCCCACCGGCCCACCTACACATTATGCTTCACCAAATATCACTCTCTTTATATCTCTCACTCTTTTAAAAAAACAAAAGAAAAGTAAAAAAACTTCAAACCTTCTCTCCCTCTTCTTGCGATCTCATCATCAACATCTCATGCAAGGTATAACAATGAACTCATCACCATACACAAATCCTAGGTGTCTTTTTTCATGCAATGGAGGGAACTTGGTGACATAGTAAGAAAAATTTTTATTTCATTTTTTATCCTTAATTTGCGATAGAAAAGTCCCCCTCAAACTTAAGGGAAAATTCTATAAGATGGTGGTGAGACCTGCAATGTTTTATGGTGTCGAATGTTGGCCATTAAAAGAGAAGCATAATACTAAGTTAAGTGTTGCAGAGATGAGGATGCTTAGGTGGATGAGTGGCTTGACCCTTAGAGATAGGATACGAAATGAGCATATACGTGAAAAGGTTGGAGTAGCTCCAGTGGAAGATAAGATTAGAGAGAGTTGCCTTAGATGGTTTGGTCACATTAAATGGAGGCCTTCCGATGACCCGGTTAGGAAAGTTGAGGTATTAGATTTGACTTATGTTAAGAAAGGTAGAGGTAGACCTAAAAAGACTTGGTTAGAAAATATTATAAATGATCTTTATTTATTAGATTTAAATGAGAATTTGATTTTTAACCGGACACAGTGGTGAAAAAGGATTTATGTAGCCAACCCCACATAGTGGGACAAAGGTTTGATGTTGTTGTTGTTGTATCCTTAATTTCATCAATTTTTTATCTGAAGAATTATTTGAGATCAATTTTGTATAGTTGAGGAATTAAAAAACAAAAATATGATACTATAGGGCTAGGCTAAATATGATTAGTTGGGGGACTATTTAAATATTTTTTCATATTTTTAATAAGCTTTTATCCTTATGGATATTTTTTTTATAAATAAGACTTCAGGCCTCACTATTAGGGGTGGAATAAATATTGGCTTAGTTAGTCACAATATTATTTTTTTTCAGTTCTCTCTCTCAAAAATACTCTTTTTAGACTCCCTCTCCAAACTCATCTATTTCACATCTCCTCTCCATATCATCCACCTACCTCTCTCCTAAAACCCAACTAGATCCAACCTCCTTTTCTCTTCTTCCTCTCCTTATTTGTTGCTTCACAACCCTCTCTAATGTTCCTTTTCTCTTATGTTTTCTACAACTAATCTCCCATTGCAATTAAATAAGAAATTAATAATTCCATACTTCATCAGAAGCATTTTATCACAGTGCATAATAGGCGTATAGAAAGAACAAGTAGGATTATAAATAAGATCTTTACCTTGTTTATCAACCCGTCGTCAATCACAGCGCTGCTGATTTTTTTAAAGAGCTCATATAGTGCTTCTATCTCACTTACACTAACTGCAAGTACAATAAAAAAGTCGATATCAGATGCATAGCTTATAGGCGTGTAGACACATAAGAACGAGAGGATATATTTCTACTTCTATCTTCTTATTTTCATGATTTCAAAAGTAAATTGGGACGTATAAGCAACATACACACTGTCTCTCTTGCTAAAATTTCTGGATCTTCAAGACCTTTTGGCTGCTTGTACAGATCAAGATCACAGCACTTTAATAAGACAGCAAACAAATGCTTGAATCCCCCTGGGCACTGCAACATTATATTTTCTCCTCAATAACACACTCCATACCTGCGAATAAAAGTAAGGACCATGAATGCCCCAACAATGAGGATACAGTCCATTTCATAAATATCTAGGAACAAAATGCATTACTTGTACATATACTATTAAACCATCGCAAAAGCAAATGGATCCTGTAAACCTAAGGGGGAAAGGGATTCTATCATATCCTAAAAAACAAATAATTTCTACATATCATTAAAAATTGCTAACTGATTGAGACTGATCAAAGCATTCAGCAGGTGAAGCTAAATGAAAATGAAGCATGGTAAGTTACAAATAGAAACACAAAAATCTAACAAACTATCCAGAGAAATCGAACAAAAGTTCTTGGAGGTGAATTAAAAGCAATTTCCAAAACACAGACAAAAATCAAACTACATATATATAGATAGGAATGCTAAACATCCACGCCTTTGATCTGTTTCCTATTAATTGATGATGACTGTCAGTTCTTAACTTTTCCTGCCCTGTAAATCCAGCAAAATGAAGATGAAACAATAATAATAATAAAGAACAGAGGCCATGGGAAACCTAAAATCCCAGAGCAGTCATCAATAGGATCTCAAGTTCGATCAGCGAATCCCCAAAAAAAAAACCCTATTAATCAATCGACGAAACAACAGAGGAACAACAACTGGAGGCAAAAAATTTCTTCGGAGCGCGAATCAAAAAGAGCAATCTGGTGGAAAATCCAAGCTGAAAGGCTCGGCCCGTCGATTACAAACAACTAGGTCGAACAGAAAAGGTATCCCAATTGAACGAGCGGGTCAGAACTGAGAGAAAATAATCACCTTTGAAGATTAATTGATGGGAGAAGAGGAGACGGGGAATTCCGCAACATTTCTCTCTTCCCTCAATTCTCTCTCTTCTCCCTCCCGTTTGTTCTGCTTCCGTTTCTCCTGGAAAATCGACAGATCTTTATATTTTCACTAAAATGTGGTAATTTCTTATTAAATTATAAATATAGAGCATTAAATGAACTGATTTGTTCCCCATAATTAATTTAGGTAAGAGCGCCGCCATGTAATATCTGTAAGATTTTTGCACGGAGGAGCGGCTTCTGACTGCTATTTTAACGGCGACAAATAAAATAATGAAAAAATTGCATCTCGAAGGAATTTTGTATAAGGCTGCAAACGAATAGATTAATCTATGTTTATATTTGATTTATATTTGCCTCATATTAAATTTTTTTTATTTATCAAAATTTAAAGTCTTATCGAGTTTTAAATGATATCTACTTCAAGATGTTGATTGACTTAACAGATAAGTTTTATGGATCTAATTAACAAATAATTATATCAAGCATGTTCACAAACATATCTAGCGAGCATTTTTGAACTACCGAATGACTCTGTTTATGAACATATTTAGCGAGTATTTTTAAGCTATCAAAAGATCATGTTTACGAACATATCTAGCGAGGGTTTAAACTATCAAATAAATTTGTTCTCCAACGTATCAAATGAATATTTTCGAGCTATTAAACATGCTCAAAATATAACTAAATAACATTGCAAAATAAAAATAGTTGTAATTACATTATACATTATTCATATTTAATAGACATTTATAATTTATTTTAATTGATATATACTATACATTAAATTAATTTTGATTTTTATTAATTTATAACTATTCTATCATTATATTATAACAAATAAAAACTATTAATAAAATATTAAACATTTTTTTAATGAGCTTTATATCGAATAAGAATCGAGCTTCATGTCGAACTTTTTCACTAGTTTTAAATGACATTAATCATTAACATAAATGAGTCAATACATAGTTGTTCAACTTGTTTATTTAAGCATCGAGTGAGGAGCTCATTGAACACTTGATTCGATTGCATCCCAAATTCTATATAATAATGGATTTTATTGGTATGCCGAGTAGGGGCGGAACCAGCCCTAATTTTCAGGGGGGGCAAATTTATAAGGCATATATGTCGGGGGTCCAAGGGGGCAGCGTCCCATGGCAGGGTTCGATTTGTTGAGGGCAATTACCTAAATACCATAGTATAGATTATTTTGACATATTTTTTATTTATATGTATATCATACAAATTGATCTTACTTAAATATTTAATGCTTATTTTTATATTTAATTTTATAAATTTTAATACAATTTTTTAATATTATTTTATGAAAATTTAAATTATTTAAATATTAGAATATTATTTAAATAGAAATTCAAAAAATTAGGATAATTATGTAAATCACTGTCACGAAACAATTCGTAGGGATCTTGAAGCGTATGATTGGCGTGCCGGTCCCGCCTGGCTTGTTTGATTGATAATGATTGCAGTTTTAGGCGGCCAAGTGATTCGAATCAGCCAAATTATGTTCGGGCACCCGTTCTGGTGGGTCCAAATAATCCAACTAGAATTTGACACGATATTCAGAACAAATCATTGACTGTTCATTTATTTTGAATATTATTATATTATTGTTATCTATCTAAATCTAATATTTTATAAGAAATTAGATGAGCATCATATGCCCACACAATAATTAAGTATCATAATTTTTTTTTTTTTATAGAATGGGATATCCACCTGCTGCCATCTCTGAAAGGGTGTTTTGCGGTATGACTAATCCTCAACTGACCTAGAAGAGGCACCCACCCCAAAATCTCTTGGCCCGCACTTAATTGGGCCCCGTTGAAGAGGTGTTGCAGCTTGAGGGGAATCAAGCACAGGTTGGAGGTTCCCAACCGTACTTGCCCACCAACCAAACTAAGCATCAGTAGGTATCATACACTATTTTGAGTGTTTAAATTTTGACTTCTTTCAAATCATTTTTTTAAAAATAAAAATTTATGCACAAAAAAATAAAACTTTTTGCATTAAATGAAAATAGTTAAGAAAAACTCGAAAAAAAAAAAACTTATAAATCACAAATAGTCGTGCTTAAAGGAAAGCTCTGCAAATCCAAAACTTTTTTGTGATAATTTTCCTATTACATTTTGAAGCATTTTTTTCGTACAAAAATTTCCTTAAAACTACGAAAAAACAATGACAAAAAATCGTCACATAAAAAGCTTTAACATTGTATAAACAATACGTACATATAGATGAATGAGGGCTTATAAGAGGCGTAAAAGTTTTTAAGTTGCTAATAGAAAATTTCATGAGGCTTAACCTGACTAATATGGTTCATTATGTAAGTTAAAAGTTATTAAAAAGTGCCGATCCTCTCCCTACCAAAGAAGATGGGATTGTAAAATGTAGACTATTTGCTTAATCTCTTACAAAAATAGTAGAGAATGCTTGATAAATAATGAGTGTTGGACATTAATCGGTAGCACTCGGGCAATATGAATGTAGATGCTGAGTGACGGAGGGCAAAAGCGGTCTAGTGAGGCTTTAATTGATGATCGATGACGGAATTTGGGCCATAGCGATCATTAATGTTGTTTGACCATAATGATAGACTACTGTCATCAATGGTGCTCGTTGGTGTTGATTGACAAGATGAGCTTTATGATTCTTTAATATGACAACTTTCTTCACCTCGAGGCTTACGTTTAGGCTTCAACTGTGGAATCAAGACCTATTTATGATTTTTTTTTTGTGGGAGTTTAGTTATTTTTGTCAATGTCTCGAATACCCCATGTGGCAACTCAAGATGTCCCCCCCCCCCCCCTTTCCTTTCCCTCAATCGCTCTCTGCTGCGTGCTTGGGTTTTTCTGGCGAGTGGGCCTCTCGCCCCGCTTCGCCTGGTTCTCTCTGGGCGAATGTTCCTACTCCTGAACTTTCTCTTGGTTTTAGGGGAGTTTCCTTCTTCCTTGTTTTTAATTTTGTTGCTGTGTTTCGTTTCTTTTGGCCCAGGTGACCGGATGGCCTCTAATAGTCTCTTGGATCCTTGTCTTTTATATGGATCTAAGAAATCGTGTTCATTTTTGGATGTTTTATCTGGTAATGCGTCGGATGTTCGTTTCTCGCCTCTCAAAATAATCTCTTTTTATGGGTTACCTGCTGTATGGATGTGTCTCATGTGTTGATTAAATTGTCAAATGACATGGATTATAGTAGGTTTTTTGCCATCGTTCTTACCTGGCTTTCAACTGCTACATGAAAATCACTAAATGGTCGCCTAGCCTTGATATCGGTGTGGAATCCCCAGTTATCCCCATTTGGATATCCTTCATTAACCTTCGACAACATCTTTTTGCTCCCAATATCCTTCATGCTTTGGGCTCTTTATTTGGTCGTCCTCTTAAAATCGACTATGCTACCTCTGTTGGCTTGTGGCCCTCACTGGCGTGTGTTCTGGTTGAATTGGATATAACGAAACTCTATCCTGATAAGTTTTGGTTGGGTTATGAGAATTTGGGTTATGTTCAGCATGTGCAAATGGAGGCGTTTCCCCCTTCTGTGATCTGTGTAAGGCCATTGGTCACAAACGAGGTGAATGTCGCTCTTCTCCCTCTGCTCCTAATCATGTTTCTTCCTCAAAGCCTTCTATTCCTGTTAAGAATGTTATTGTTTATGTGGAAAATGCTGGTGATGGTTTTTTTGTGGATATGGTTTCTCCTAAACCTTTGGGTCAGTCGATTGAGGGTGAAGGCCCGGTTGGATTGGCTGAGATTCATGTTCTTACTTCCCCTTCACATGCTCTTATGGCTTGTGATGCGGGTGTGCCTGCTATCGAGCATGTATCTTGCTTTGAACTCTCCCCTACTGACCCTGTATCTGCTCATGCTATTCGTGATTCACCTGCTATTCATAATCCTAATTTAGCCTTGGTGGACTCTGTGGTTGGGGTTGAGTATGTAGCCCAGGCCCCTCGGCTATGTGTTAGTGATGTTGGTGCTTTGAATTGTGAGGTTAATTTGAAACCTGTTTTGTCTTGTATGAATTCTATGCATGCCATGTGCAGTTTGGTTTTGGCTGAGGTGCCTCCTATGATTGCTGAGCTGTCTGGTTCTTCTTATTCTCCTATTTGGGAGTTTTCTGGTTGTGATAACCCGTCCCCTATGGGTCCCATGATTCAGGATGTTGGCTCCTCTTTTGTTAATTTAGTGTTGGATAAGCATGTTCATGATCAATCAGTTTTACTTTCTTATGACGGTTGTGAGGGCAATTTTAATTTTGTTAATATCCCTATTTCAGTTATGTCTAATAGTGAATTGAAAAAGCATGTGGCTAACTCTGCGAAAAATTATATTTTGGTTCAAAATGATTGGTTGATTTTAGAGGACTCTCTTTCCTCCCCTTTTAGTGAGGATGAAACTGATTATCATGATGTCGAGCAAGTTCGTCCCGCCATTCGTGGTATTTCCGATGCGAATGGTAATAAGCATAGAAGGAAAGGTAAAAAGTAATAGGGTTTGTGATTTGGCTCGTGCGTTTTCGTCGATGGTTTTTGGAGTTTTAGTGGACGATGATGAGGAGGCCCCTGCTTCCCCTTCGTGGCTGAGCTGACTGGCAACCTGGGTGCCTCGGCTGCTTGGCTGGTGCTAGGGGGCCTCCATTCCCGAGTCCCCTTTTGTTGATTATTTTGATATGTTTGGTTGTTTTGGGTATTTACTCTTTGTATCTCAGACTGATGGTCTTATGACTTTGTACCCCTCCTTTTTATATTTAATAAATATTTTTGTTTAAAAAAAAAAGATGTCCCCCTTTGAATATTTGATGTTTTACAAGCATTCAAATGTCTTAATGATATCATAATGGATCAATCTTAGGGACGCTAGATTCATACTATCGAATGCATACTTATATCATAAGTTTGCATAAAATGTTCTTCAATTAACCTTGAAATTGATTCCGAAAGTTGTTGCTTTGAGAATCTAAAGTGCTATGAGATTTGGACATCTCATCAAAATCAGCTTCATTAAATGAACTTCTACTATCAAATTAGCAACCCTCTATTTTGGACATAAAAAAATTTTAGTCCAAAAAATACTAAGTCTTACTTTTTTGAGTTAAATCATAAT